TTTTATCAGAATACAAGAGTTTTTTCTTTTTGAAATCCGAATAGAAAGTGTAGAGGTTGTATTCGAATTCGAATACAACATGTACGTTTTCTATTTGGGGAACTCTGCTATTCGAGAAAAGTGGACCCGCACCGTTTCAATTTCGGAAAAGGATTGCAGCCTCCTACGCGCAGCTACCGGTCCTACGCGGTCCTCGCCCTTGCAATGCCCCAAAACCTCAAAATGCCCACCCTCCGACGACCACCAATGTTGAAATTTGATTGACGTTGAAATGTCTCAGGGGGGGAAAACGCAACCCTGACGGGCTGCGAACACCCCTACGTGACCCCACCGGACCCGACATATAGGTTATATACACTCACCATTACCGCCCCTTTTGCCTCAAGTGCATTTTCAAACTCAAACCCTGACTGTGCCCCAGCCTTGCAGAAAGTTTTTGTCGTCACAAGTAAAACATGGAAGAGCCACGCAGTCAGTGAAAGGTCTTCCACAATTCAGACCCCAAATTCGAGTTTCAGGGTCAGAGGTTGGGGCCAAGAAATGCCAAGTCGGTCAGTTTCAGAAAACTCACAGTCGGGTACCTTAGCAGTCAAGTCCAACAGGCCCGGCCAACAGTCACATCCCAGGGGCAAAAATCACATCTCATAAACCACCAGTACTTGGCCCAGCTATGGGCCGGGGGAAAAAATGAGTAGAAACGTTTCTAGTTGGATGAATCTGGGCGCTCTTGTAGTGGCACGTACATTTCCTAAAATTGTGGCGCATTAACGGGCACGACTTTAGGAAGCACTGGTGGTATAATGAAAAGTCATATTGGAAAGTCACTACCCACGGGCGAACGACACCCCACAGGCAAAAGTCGTGCCCTAGAAGCAGGAGTTACAAACCACATTCAAAAGTCATGTGCCACAATCGAAAAGTCGTGGCTCAAAGGCCCAAGCAGCAGCACGCGAATGAAAATTTGGGAACCGTACCAGGCCTGACATTCTGAAGTAAACAGTACGTGGGGATGTGGAACCAGAACCAAGCCAAGCCCCAAGAAGCAGAGGCTGGGATGAGTTGAAGCTTAGTCCAAGACAATATAAGGATTGACAAGCCTTCTCATTTGGCAGATTGCTCATTCGCATGAAGTGTGGAAGTGCTGGTGCACTTGTGCGCTATTGTGAGGCGTGGAGCGTTGAGCCAGGGAGTTGCGCTCTTAGAGGGAGAGAGAGGGAGCAGCCATAGCTGCCCAGCGCTGGCAGAGGGAAGGCAGCCATCGTTGCATCAGTGCTACCGTCTTCCCCCGAACATAGCGCATATGCGTTGTAAATTAACACAATGCATATTGTGCATTGTATTCCTTTACAACGCATATGCGTTATGTTCGAGTGGACGAGACCAACTTTACCTGCACAAGGGGGTCGAGTCCAGGTTGAGTAGGCTAAGTTCTGGACCACGGCTGAGGGCCTCAGAGCCTTGGCAAAAAAATAAAAGTAAAGTAGCGACATACCTTTCCATGTTCTGGGTTGAGTTTCATTCATTTCCCCTACTTGGGCCCTTGCTCCACTTCTCGGCAAGTGTGCAAGATGAGAATGGATCTTCCGCTAGAACGTGGATAAATACAACCCTTTTTTTTTTTGTCTTTGTGACCACAGTAGTGAAGAGAGGCCTTGGTGAGTGACTTTTTTATTTTTTCACTTTCTTGGTCGTGCTGTCGAATGCATCGGCCCCCGCGCGAGCGAAAGCCCTCCCGGTCACGTCACGCAGGAGTTACACAACATAACAAAATACGGAGACAACTTAGGGACAACGAGAAATAGTTTCCGCGAGCCTCCGAGGTGGTGCGAGGTCACGTCGTCCCTACGCCGCTCTAGCCGGGTGCGCCAGCTGTACATCTCGCGGTCCCCTACGATAGGACAGGTTCCCGCGGGGCATAAGCTTGCTTCCCTAAGGGGCTATCACCACCCTTAGGGGCATATCCCTACCGAGCTACCAACCCACGTGCGAAAGTTTTTAAATGCAATTGCAGAGGTGGTCCGGCCGAGGGCGTTTGCTCGCACGATGTAGTATAGGTATACGAGATTAAACACCTTTGAACTCGGACGTCATCCGTCCTTTAGGGCGCTGATCTCCTAAGGATGGAGCGTACGCCAGTCGACTAGATCGATTTCAGTCAAGTATAGAAACCAACAACAACTTGACTCTAGTCCCTTATACACAATTTTTTCATACAAATATATATATATATATATATATATATATATATATATGTATATATAAGTTATTCAGACGAAATCACAAAAAAATAATACACATGAAGTCACTTTTCATATCAATCAGCTCAACAATTATAGCACAATTTTTTAATAGGTTTGGTCTGACGAAAAAGGGTCATGCTATCGTGCTTTCCTACTCGTCATTGGTATGGTCGTCACATTCCAAGTTTTTTTAAGCTAAAGTCAGACTTTTTTTCGAGTCTGAATTCAAAACAACATCGTGCCTACAAAAGTTTTTCATGAGTAGCTTTTTCAAGTAAATACCACTGCTACCATGCAGATCAAGAAGTGATCAGGTTTTTGGTCGAAGTTTGAACTCTCGGTTGGACCCCATCTCAGCCATCGCCTCCTTTAAGCTTCAACATACGCATCTAGTTACCCCTCAATGCATAAGCATGATAGTGTCATCATCAGGGTAATCCAGATACTATCCATCCGACAGTCCTATCTAAACAAAGTGTTTTGTTTTTGTTTTGTTTAAAGATTACCTCGTGAAGTCATGAATCATATGACCTCCTCAACATGACAAGTCTATGCGAGGTGTTTTCTGAGACCCAAGTAGGATATCAGAAGGCAGTGTCTATCCCAAATAGATCTGCCGTCCTCCGCGCACCTTTGTCTCTAATGAATCCAGTCTCGCAAGTTCAATGTCGTCGAATGTCAGGGTAGTTCTCCGCCCACCTCGCATGACTCTAATGATCCGAGTGTCATAGAAAGAGATCATCCGTAAGGCTAATCTCCATACTATGACTCGCAGAGGCCGACTGAGTCCAAATACGTGTCGGGTCTCCGTGTCCTAGATCCGGACGACGCCGAAGCGTCTACCGGACGAGGTAATCCTGATGCTCACAATGACTCGGGAGAGACATTGGAGGTTGCTCGCACGGTGGAAATATAAAGTATATAAAAAAAACTCATCTGGGGTCCGAGTCGTATTGGCTCGGAAATCCGCGCGAGTATTAAGGAAAAATCCCTCGCCGTTGCGGAGCAATCCAATGAAGCCGATCCATTGAGTAGGAGAACCATCTTAAACCCGTAAAAGTTGCTCCGCTCCTCTGATGAGATCGTCCTCGTGCGTATCACGAACCGGCAGGTACCTCAGGATAGTCAAATCTCGTCGTGCCCCCGACATCTGCGTATCGGAAACAAAACTGCGTTAGTCGTGTAGTCGTTCCTCGAGTTCATCTTCCTCGTCCTGCCATGCATATTCTGAAAATGGTTCAACTCGTAGAATGACGAACCTATTTGCCCGTACTCGTCTTGTATGATATATGCAGAAGAAAGGGTCCTATATGCGAGGTGTTTTCTGAGACCCAAGTAGGATATAAGAAAGCGACGTCTATCCCAAGTAGATCTGTCGTCCTCCGCGCACCTGTGTCTCTAATGAATCCAGTCGCGCAAGCTCAATGTCATCGAATGTCAGGGTAGTCCTCCGCCCACCTCCCATGACTCTAATGACCCGAGTGCCATAGAAAGAGATCATTCGTAAGACTAATCTTCATACTATGACTCGCAGAGGCCGACTGAGTTCAAATAGGTGTCGGGTCTCCGTGTCCTGGATGCGGACGACGCCGAAGCGTCTACTGGACCAGGTAATCCTGATGCTCACAATGACTTGGGACAGACATTGCAAGTTGCTCGCGCAGTGAAAATCTAAAGTATATCCAAAAAAACTCATTTGGG